TTTCTTGGATATTCGCACAATTCAGTGACTTATCGAGTGTTAAATAAGCGAACACGAAAAGTGGAAGAAACTTTCAATCTTACATTCGATGATTATTATGTTAAATCAAATGAACATCAATTTTCGAATTATGCAATTTTACAAGAAACACAAATTGAAATTGATTCTACACAAATGGATGATATTGATTATGATTTAATTTTTGGCATCTCAGATCATGCAGTTGATGCTGAATTTTATGCTCCTGATAATCACATTCCAGAGTTGTCAAAACTTACTGATAAATCATCATCAACTCCTTAAGAAGGTGAACCTATGAATGGTAATCCTTTGGAGAGAGAGCAATTGGATTCGAATACTTTGAATGATGAAGAGCATTCTATTGAGGGGGAGAAAGAACAATTGAATGCTGAAATTAAGGGGGAGCATCATGTTGATGATGCATGTTCGAATGCAGGCTCAGAATATGATGAAATATTCGAAGATGCTCCTTTGGAATTTGATCCAGCATATCCACCCATGGAAAAATGGACTAGAGACCATCTGAAGGATCAAGTGATTGGGAATCCAGAAGAAGGAGTGTTAACAAGTGCTCGAATTCGTGCAAAGAATGAGGTATTGAATACTCATCAAAAATTTTGTATGTTTAATGTTTTCATGTCTAAATGTGAACCAAAAACAATTAAGAATGCAATGGAACACTCAGATTTGATTGTTGCAATGCAATCATAATTGTCTAAATTCGAACAAAACAAGGTTTGGAGATTAATTCCTAAACCTGAAAATGTTTTGATTGTCGGGTTAAAATGGATTTTTAAAAATAAAACCGACAAAGATGGAAATATTATTCGAAATAAAGCCAGACTTGTTGTAAAAGGCTATTCACAACAAGAAGGAATCGATTATGAAGAAACCTTTGCCCCTATCGTAAAACTCGAGGCGGTTCGAATATTCCTGGCTTATGCAGCTCATAAAGATTTTCATGTTTATCAAATGGACGTGAAATGTGCATTTCTTAATGGAGAGCTTGAAGAAACAGTATATGTGGAACAACCCCCAGGTTTTATTAGCGAAGAATTTCCTAATCAGGTTTATATTTTAGATAAGGCAGTTTACGGTCTAAAACAAGCACCACGAGCATGGTATGCAACACTTACATCATTTTTGAAACAATCTAAATTTAAACAAGGTTCTGTTGATCCCACACTATTTCGAAAGAAAGTAGGGAATCATCTTTTGCTTGTTCAAATTTATGTTGATGATATTATTTTTGGCTCGACTGACCCTTCTTTGTCTAAAGAATTTGAAGACTTGATGAAATGCAAGTTTGAGATGAGCATGATGGGAAAAATTAATAATTTCCTTGGATTGAATATTCATCAAAACAGAGAAGGGATTTTCATCAATCAGGAAAAATATACGAAAAATCTGCTTGAAAAGTTTGGCTTGACGAATAGCACAAAGCTTCGTGTACCAATGGCAACGGGCATAAAGTTAACACCATTGTTAGACAAACCTGCTGTTGATATTACGTTGTATAGGAGCATGATAGGTTCGTTACTTTATCTTACAGCAAGTCGACCTGATATCGTGTTTTCTGTGTGTAATTGTGCTAGGTATCACTCTAATCCAAGCGAACCACATCTTACTACTGTGAAGAATATTTTTCGTTATCTGAAAGGCACTATTTCGTTAGGATTGTGGTATCCTTCAAAAAACAGGATTCTTTGTTCAAGCATACTCAGATGCAAACTTGGGTGGTTGTACTCTTGATCGAAAAAGCACAAGAGGTGGATGTCAATTACTTGATGGCAAATTAGTCAGTTGGCAGTCGAAAAAGCAAACATGTGTGTCGATTTCCATGGCTGAAGCAGAATATGTGGCTGTTGCTGCATGCACTTCGCAAATAATATGGATTCAAAGTCAATTACATGATTATGCAATTAATATGAAAAAGATTCCATTATATTGTGATTCTCAAAGTGCAATAAGAATTTTTCATAATCCTGTGCAGCATTCGAAGACTAAACACATAGCTCTTCGTTATCATTTCATTAAAGATCGCGTGGAGGATGGAAATATTGAAGTTCATTTCGTGAAAACAACTGATCAGTTAGCTGATATTTTCACGAAAGCTTTGGATGAAAAGTCTCTAATGCGAATAATAGAAGTTCTTGGAATGATCGATGGAAATTCTGTTTCATGCGAAAAAGTCGAATACTAAGCGAAAAAGAATGAGTTAGAGGCGATAAACAAAGTCATTTAGCATTCAGCGGTTACTGTTCATAGTCAACACTTCGACCGCTTCGAATTCGCATGATTGTCACTGATCTTTAGCGTTGCATCAGTGGTTACTATTCACAGTCAACGCTTCGAACACTTCGAATTCATTTTGATGATGATTTGAAAGGGAAAAAGCAGGTAATATTGGGGACAGGTAAAAAAATTTCGTATGCATCACTATTTTTTTATTATTCGAATTAGTTAGGTTGTCCCTAGAAGCATGTTGTTTCATGTCGACCAAAGCCTCCATGAGTCAATGTGTATGTACGAAAGCCTTAATGAATTTTTTTTTATAAAAAATTCTTCCCAATCAGGCTTATATTCACATTAGTCTCTGAGCTACCTTACTCTTCTCACAATGAGTTAAGAGTTTTTTGTATGGTCCAAAACATAACAGATGTACTTTTCATGTCTTACACCAATCTTTTTCATCAATACATTATTACACGATCACACACAAAGCCATATGTTCGAGAGGTCTCTGATCAATCCCATCGAGACTTAGACATATAAAAATTTTGTGTTAATGATCTGACATCATGAGTCCGTGATGAAAGTGAAACCCAAACATCTTGAAACTTAAGGAATTGACGGGGAACATTGTTCCAGATATTAACGAAACCTATGTTTCTGTACCAAAATTCGAAACTCCAAATCCTTAAGATGTTTGTTAATCAAACATAGGTTTCGTTAATCAAACATCTTGGGTTTCGAAACTTTCGAAACATCTTGAAATTATGATTCATTTCGAATGCGTGGTCTTAATCAAACATTCGAAACCCAAGATGTTTGTTACTCAACAAGATCCAGAACATAAAAAAATTTTATGAATATGATTTTAGTGTGAGTTTCATTCGAATATCCTTGTCATGATCATAATTTTCAAGGCCAACTAGTCACTAACTACACTGGTCAAACAAGTAATTTTTGTTACAATTTATCACCTTATGTTTAGGTTGACATGTAACGAAATTTTAAACCAACCCAAGAATTACTGTTAAAAGAAGCCCTTTGATGCTTATCAAAAAGTAGTTGATTATACTTCACAGGAACATACACAAGCTGTTGATTATCTCTCTTGATGATTAACGAAGAAACCTTTGCTTGGGGTTTAACTGCATTCGTGTCAAATTGCATTTTTGACATCACTACATTCCAAAAAAAAATTAATTGTTTCTTGTCTAACCTTTATTTGGCACACTACACACACGAAATCCTTGAGGTTCTGAGCAATACCAACTCAGGCTAATGATTTCGAACATCTGGCATATGACTTTGCTTTTCATCCCAAAAGTGAAAGAGCCCTACCTCCATTCGAAGGGTTCTAACAGTTACTATTCCATAAAGGGGATAGTGATAGGTTGTGTAACCGTGACGTATAGTATTCAACCCGGTTTTCTAGGAGATGTGACAGATGCTTTTTAATGCATGGCTAACTTTCCGCAGAACTGTTCTGATTTTCAAGGTGCCACGTTGGATTTCATTAAATGCATCCCGCTTCAAATTCAAATCATCCAGCGTTACATATAAAAGAGGGTTTAGAGTACATTATATGCTTATGCGATCAAACACTTCAAAATTCCCAAAATTCTATGTTCTTCATCTTCTTCAAACCCTAACATGGCGACTACTTCTCATGTTGATGCTTCCACTGAAGATACATCCTCAGTACCAATAATGAAGATTCAATCTACCAATTATTACGTAAATGGTGAACTATCGCAGTGTCCGAAGGAATTCAAGATGCTGATTGTTGCGCTAAAACACTCTGTTTTATCAAAAGCAATGTTCAACTCTTTTTCTGTTCCATTATATTGGCTTTCTCAAGCAGGATCAACAGCTACCTACAATAAATTCACTGATTTGATTACCTTTCTTTTAATCAATGATAAGAAGGTTAGGCTTTCCAAGAAACTATCTTGCCAGATTCTTGATATTCCAAATACACCTCTGTTTCTTGAATTTCAATTCTCTCAGATCATACACATGTTTAATGAAATGGGATATCAGCCCCCATTGTCAAAGATCAGTGATTTTAAAAAGTCTGTTCTTCCAAAAATATGGAACTTTTTGTTTGGAATATTTTTGCGTTGTTTAATCGGAAGAACAGTTGGCTTGGATAAAGGAAGAATGGAGATATACGCCATGGTGGCTGGTCTGTATTATGATCTTCCTAGTGATTATTCCACACAGCTATGGTAGGAGTTCCAGAAAGGGGTAGAACACATGAATGTTGTCCATGGCATTTCGTGTGCTTGGTACTGGAGTCTTATTTTACAACATTTATACAACAAAGAAGGTATCATCGTCTCTACTGAAGAAGAAAAAGTTACTTTTCAGTCTTCTCATTTTCCAAAGGAGGTTGTTGATGATGCTGATGAATTTCCATGTGTTGCTCGGATTTCGGATGCAATGCTTAAAAGAGTGGATCCTTCGAATCCTGTTTTGATGGCATATGTAAAAACCTTCTATTCTTCTATTCCTACGGGAATTTTATTACCACGCGAAGAAAAGAAGTGTAAGAAGTCGAAGAAAGATGAGCCTACTTCTCCTGCGAAGAAAGCGAAGGGTTCAACATTATCCAAATCCACAACGCAGAAGCCAGAAAAACTATTATTGTGACAGTCGATGCAACACCAGTGATTATACCAGTAGTGGAAGAGTCACAAGAAAATGAGGTGATTACTTCAAAAACAGGGATGTTTCGAAGAATAAAAATGAAATCAAAGCATAAACGCAAGTCTTCATCTCAGACACTGCTTCGTAAACCTCAACTTTCTCATCAAGGAGTAATGTTTCATGAGGTTCCTGTTCCTGTTTCTCCCGCATCCAAGAAACGAGCAGCTGAAGATATGGCAAAACATTTATCCCAACCAAAGAAGAAGAAGACGAAGAAGGCTCAGAAGATTGTTTTATCCAGTGAATCTACTGAAGAGGATGAACGCGTACCAGAAACTCCAGAAGTCACCTCTATTCTTACAAGCTCAATTCCAGAGACTACTGTCATATTCACCCCTGAAGTTTCTATTGCCAAGTCAAGGTCTATTTTTGAGGAGGTACGAACTTCAAACTTGAGTGAAAATTTTTCGAAGGATGCAGCTCAAGGTCTATTTATCTTTACTCCTTTTGAAACATTCGTTTCTATTCCACCAACATCAACCATTCCTCCTACTTCAGCTACTATATCTCCAACCTTTGAACACATCCTCAATCAACCAATTACTTCCATGTTCTCTTCTCAATCAACTGATACCGCCAAACCAACTTCACCCACAGAAACTGATCATGAAGGGTTTCGAGGAACATTTGAAGATTTGGAATTTCAAGATGAAGAAGAAGATTTCCCTAATCACATGCTCATAACCATGAAACAATACAAGATTTTGAATCAAAAGTTGAATTCCATTATTCATTCCCAAGCTGATCTTGGAGGGGGTTCATCAATTTCCAGTTTGGAGGTTGATTCAATGTTAAAGATGTGTGAGTCAAGAATAATTGCCAAAGTATCAAGGATGTTGAAGGCTTCAGAGACAGTGCTTATGGAGAAGGTTGATTATTCAGATTAAACAACTGAGGTACATCTTAAAAATCAAAGATCTGATTTTCTGGGAGAAGTGAAAGATCTATGAAGTGTAGCAAAAGAAAGACATGTTCTTTTTTTCAGGAGGTTAAGAAGGTGAGAGAAGATGTGAATTCGAAAATTCAAGAGCTTCATGAAGAAATGAACAAAGAAATTTTATCTTTTCAACATGATTATGCGTCCTTACATCAAAAGGTCAATATCATATGTGATGTCGTCACCAAATTTGTTAAAATGTACGAAGGTTTGAGTCCACAAATTGCTCAAATCTCCAAACCTGAAACTGAAAATTTTAAAGGAGTGATGAAGCTGTTGAAAGAGCTGAAGGAGATATCCACAAAGCCAGTTTCGTCTCCTTTGATTACTCCTAAATTTTTGTCACAAAAATTTGTTCAATTTGAAGCCATTCTAAACAAGCAACTTGCTCCACTCTTTCACATATCTAGTCTTCTTCCCACAACAACTGCCCCTCCTGTTTTCACAGGGGTGCAAGGGGGAGAAAGGAAGTCCACAGAAGAAGAAGCAAAAGTTATGGGCAAGGTATTTTCTTCGAACATCCCTTCATCGAAGCCAGTGTTTTTGTCTGCTCAACCAGTGACTTCAACAATTGTTACAACATTGCCAACTACACGAACAATTTCGAAAGGAATTGCTATTGGTAAACCTTTGGAGTCTGGTGGGAGTGGTTCAAAGCCAAAAGACTTAACTGAAAAATCTGCTTCGAGAGACAAAGGCAAGTCAATTTTAGTTAAAAAATCCAAGGAAGAAAATAAAGTTGAAGCCGAAGTTGAACTCGAGAGAATGAGGCTTGCTCAAAGCATCATGACTCAGAGGGCTAGAGATCCTAAGGGTATGAACAAAGGTGATCCAGCTAAGCATTACAATTATGAAACTATCGAAGACTTGGTTTCCTTTAACCACAGGTACTCATTCGAAAAGAAGCCAAAACAGAGTTATGTGGTTACAAACACTGATGCTTGTCAGTTTGATTTCCCTGTCAATGAGATGATGTTCATAATGCCTCAATTTAAAGCAAAAGGGAATTTCAAAGAAAAGGATGAAGGAACCCAAATGAAGATTCGATTTCATGCAGTTCTGGGTAAAGCACCTGAGGAAGTCTGGTCACTAATCAAGATTAAAAAGGTGATTAGCATGAAGAAAGATGTGGTCTTCGAAAATATAGTTCAAAATGTTAAATACATTGTGACCAGAGTAAATGGTAAATCATGCGAATTCACCATTGCTGACTTTCCTCTAATGAACTTGTATGATCTTATACAAGTTGCATTGCTTATTAAAGACAAATCTTTCTCCTTTTTGCAAAATACTGATCCTGAAGAATTCAAACTTGGAGTTGCTCACATCAAAATTTTCATTGAAAATTATTATGAGTGCCTTGCACTAACTGATGTGGAGCTAGCTACTTCAAAAGGGATGGAAGTTAAAGTTCCAATGGCTTCTTCTTTGACTCAGGCTGAGTTAAAGAAGTATGCAGATGGAGAAATATGTTTAAAGCCATTTCGAATTGTTTTTGCTGGGAAGGATAAAGCTCAAAAAGCTAAGAGGTTTTTGTTTCAAGCCAGTGAAGTGGAGAGATATTCAACATCTCAGTATACGAACTTAATTGTTCGTATGAACCACTGTAAAAAGAACAATGAAGGCGATAAGAAGGAAATGAAAAAGATTATTTCGTGGTACACTGAAGTTTGAAGAGTTTTTCTTTACTCCATCACTCTACTTACAAACTTAAGACTTCGACTTTTATTACAAAGGGGGAGATTGTGAGAGTCAAAGTGTTGTAATAGTCGAAGTTTGTATTTAGGGTCTTCAAATCTTTCTGTATTTTTATTTTACTAAGGCATAATATTCGATGCATAATGTTTTAGTCCTTAGTATATTTTTTGTACGCTTTCCTCTCCTATAAATAGGAGTTGTTACTAGTGTCTTAGTAACTAAGTCTTTACAGAATATTCATTGTACTCTGTAACCTTTGAAAAATCGTAATAGAGCCAAACAGATCATATTTACATCGGTGTTCAAATCTCGCATACTTACTTTGAATTCAAACTGTAATTCATTCTATATTCGATTCTTTGATTCATCAGTGTTTTGTCTAGCCAGAAAACCAAGAGATCCACGGCCACCACCATCAGGTGGTGGCTACCGCCACGTGCCACCGCCAGCCACCACAAGGTGGATGTGTGTGTGTGTTTGTTTTTAGTGTGTGTGTGTGTGTGTGTGTATTCTTTGAGATGTTGCATTGTATGATGTAATAAAAAAAGAAATAACGGAAATGAAACTCCAAACCACCGCCATAGGGTGGTGACTGTCGCCTCCTGCCGCCACCGGCCGCCGCGTTGGGTGGTAGTGTGCTTAATTGTGTTTGGCTGGCATTTGGAATGCTTGGACTCTATTGGACTAGAAAACCTAACTACCACCGTGAGGTGGTGGCCGCTGTCGTGTGCCACCGTTGACCACCACTACCCGAGGTGGTAGTGTGTGGTGCCTGATTAGTGAAACCCTAATGGGCCTAACAAAACCCTAATGGGGTTAAGGACTTCATTTTGGGCCATTGGAATGGAATTGTGTACTAAGCCAAAGCACACCATATGACTTATTTAGTAAAGTGAGGGACTTAATGGATTAAGTCCTTAATGGGTTAAGTGAGAAACACTTAACCCTAATTGTCATTTTATGTGAAACCCTAATTTCACTTAGGTTTATTGTTGAAGCTTCTTATTGGGCCTTGATGATTAGGTTATTAATGGGCCATCCAAGATCAAGCAAATGGACTAGAATAATTAATGGGCTTTTAGGTAAGGCCCATATGAGGGCTTGGGCCCACTTTGGAAAATTGGGCCATAAATGGGCCATAGTTTGGGCATTTATGATTATGAGACATTGGGCCTCTAGAAATGCCAAATGTTTGGACTAGACTAATTGGTTGGGCCCTTGAATAGGACCATGTAAAGGTTTGGGCCCAATTTGGAAAATTCGGCCATATGTTGGGCTTTGATTCCTAGTTTGACTTTTGGGCCTTTGGAGTGGGCCTTGGGCTTGAATCATGCTAGGATGGGGTAATGTAGCCTATTACTCCAAGAACTTATGGTTACATGTTGGGACCCAATTATTAATTGGGTGATGTTTTGATATTGACAGTTCAGGTATCTATCATCCAGCAGCTGGGATTGTGTCTACGGGACTTCAGCAGTGTGAGGTGAGTTACCTTCCAGCATGGGTGGGTATAAGGCACCAATGTCGACCCACCAGTAGGTGATTATGTTTGAGATGATTGTCTTTGTGATAATTATCTTGTTTCCACTATTTGATATGCTTATTGTGCTTGGATGCTATGATTTATGTGTTCGTAGTAGTGAGGGTGCAATAGTCCCCAGTTATCGGTTGAAAGATACCGAAGACGGTTGTCGATTGAAAGATACAGAAAGGGTGGACACAACCCATGCATGCCTAGCAGTATGTTTACGATATGTTATTATGTGACCAATATGGTTATGATATGTCATTATGTGATTCAGTATGTTTATGTTATGTTATCATGGAACCAATATGTTTACGACATGTTATTATGTGATAGTGATAGGGGTGAAATAGTCTTCGGATACCGGGTGAAAGATACCAAAGGGGTGGTTAGCTCTTGGTTACCAGTTTAAAGATACCGAAGGGGAGGTTAGTTCCCGGGTACCGGTTGAAAGACACCGAAGGGGAGCCCAACTCCCAGTTATGTCAGATAGATACCGTTTGAAAGATACCGAGGGATAGGCATTATTTGGTATGTGGCATGATGGGGTAACTCACTAAGCTTTGTCCTAATGGTTTTCAGTTTTGGTTTCAAGTACTTCATTTTTAAAGGAAAGGAGCAGGCGATCGCAGCACATCACACCATGTTTTCCGCATAAGAGATCTTTGGGATTACACTCTGATATTATTTTATGATAACATGTTTGACTATTGACACTTTGGTTTTAACACGAGAGGTTATTATGGATGTTTTCATACATACGGTTTTATAATAACTTCTTTAAAAATGAAATTTTTGACCTTGAATTTTGGGATGTCACACATTCGAATTGTTGTTATAGCAAAAGTGAAGACCTTATCTTGGGTTGAGTCTATAAATCAAATTTAAGAAGGAGCAGGAGTCTGCAATGAGAATTGAGTTTTTAACTTGGAGATTAGGATCGAAGGCCCAAAAGAGAATGAAGAGTGTATGCAGATTTGAGAACTGCCATCAATTAAGAAGTTTGAAGAGTTTGACAATCGTTTAGTTAAAGGTCGTACATTTCAGATTACCATAGAGGAAGCACACGAGGACCCGAATGTTGTGACTGGTTCATTTCTCGTCAACTGTAGACCAGCTCACATCTTATTTGATTCTGATACCCCAGATTCTTTTAGGTCTCATCAAATTGCGCATTCTTTTCAAATTGCTTATTATACATTCACCCAATCATTTCATGTAGATACCGCGGGAAGTGTATCATTACTTGCTAATAAAGTCTATAGAGATTGTTTCATAGAAATTGAAGGTTATAGTTTTCTTGCTAACCTTATTCCTATCTCCTTGCCCAACTTTAAATTATTCTCCGCATGAATTGGTTGTCAAAGAACCGCACATAACTTTTGTGTTACGAAAAGATGGTATGCATCCTTATCGAAGGGAAGGATTCTATTTTATGTCTTCGGTAAACAAAGACTTAAAATCTAAAAAAATAATATCTTTCCAAAAAAACTCGTAAACTTATATCGAAGGGGTATTCTACTTATCTAGCCTATACAGTTGATATCTCAAAAGAGGGGAAGAAAATTGTAAATGATGTTCCCGTTGTTAATAAATATCCTAATGGTTTCCTTGATGATTTTCCTGGACTTACCCCAGATAGAAAAATAGAATTCTGAACTGACTTTATGTCTAGTGCTGCTCTAATTACCAAAGACTGCTAGACAGAATGATAACATTTTGGAAATTGTTGACCGGCTGACTAAGAGTGCACATTTTCTTGCCATGCGTGAAACAACTCCAATGAAGAAGTATGCACAAGTATACTTGTATGAAACTGTTGCGAGACATGGTGTGTCGCTAAACATTACTTCCGATCGTGATAGTAGCTTCACTTCTCATTCTCGGGCAAGTATGCAATGTGAATTGGGATCTTATGTCACTCTCAGCACAACTTATTATCCCCAAACCGATGGTAAGACGGAGTGAACAATCCAAACATTATATTAAAGGTGTAACAATGTGAAAATTTAAAACAATTTTTTCATTTTCCAAACATAACATATCGCGTTCAAATCATCTCAAAACTTAGGGGTATCAAACTTATCACAGTAAAACATATCCCAGAATCTCAAATACAATTCTATATATCGTACCTGAAACACATATCACATAACACGGTAAGCATAAATGCTTAGTGAGTTCCCCAAAATACCACATACAACACATAACCCACTCGAGGCTACAACTCGGTATGGACCTCAGGTCAATGCATCCAAGCGGGACTCTCCAGTCCCGTAGCTCGTTAGCTCCTCCAGTCTGGTCTGATTAAGGACCCTCTAGTCTCATAAATCGTTGGACCCTCTGGTCTGGTCTATATAACAAATAGCATACATATAACACAAAGCACATAATTCTCAAACATACACATACCCATAAGACCCTCTGGTTTGCACATAGATACCAATGTAGGTAGTGTATAGTGAGAAGACTCAACTTGGGAAATCTCGGAAAGTCTCGAATTCGAAATACTGATCTAGCCTCCGCCTAATCACATAAAGTAATTTATCTCTAATTAACAACGATTCTCATAGGCTTGACTTATCCCTTCCTATAATCTCTCAAAAGGGGAAAAGACCAAATCTATCGGAAACTTAACACCGAAAATCTCAACCAGTCCATGCCCATGATGACACAAACATCCCCCATTGCCATCGGTACCAAATCTATCGGAAACTTAACACCGAAAATCTCGAGTACACATCCCCAAATATCATCAGTAGCAAGAACCGCTCGCTCTTCAGCTATAGAAACTCACAGAGGTCGACTCAACGCCTCTTGTCGGATACTGATGCACTGACTAAATGCTAAAGACACAAAAGATTGACTCGCACCCAAGTCAAATAAAACCAAAGTAGGAACAGAATTCACAAGGAAAGTAACAGCCACCACATCGGGCATTGCACAAACCTCCTCTGTTGTCAACTGAAAGGCTCTCCCGTGAGACTTCAGTGCCTCGGCCTTCACTGGCCGGGCCTCGGTGGCTCTAGTAGCAGCAGGTGCATATCCTTGTGCTAATCCTTAAAGTAGTTGTGGGCACTCAGCCTTTTGATGGCCAGTCTGGTTGTAGTGAAAGAAAACTGCAAACCCCATGGGGCAATCCCTCGTGAAATGTCCCTCCTTGCCACACTTGTAGCACACCCCCGTCCTGCACACTCCCTCATGGATCTTGCCACACTTCCCACAAGTGCGGCCCTTCGGTCCTCCAAATCTCGAATCAGCAGGCTTTGCCCGCTTGACTGCCGGCTGAGACTATGTCGACCGCCAATAACTCCTCTGAGACTCGGCCTCCTACCTAGCCTGAGTCTCTAGCTCGATCTCCCTCTTCCAAGCATTTTCCTAGAGCTCGGCATATGTGCAGTACGACGAGTTCGCCACGAACTCATGAATGTCTCGCCTAAGTATACTCAGATATCGAGTCATGCATGACTGCTCAGAAGACACATGCTCAGGGAAAAACAACGCCCTCTCATGAAACATCCGCGTAATCACACTCACAGACTCCGTCCCCTGCTTGAGGGACAAGAACTCCTGGGCCAAACGTTCCCTCTCCACCGGAGGAACATACTCGTCTCTGAACATAGTGGTGAACCTCTCCTAGGTCACCGCAGTAAGCTCTACAGGAGTAATATATGTCATCACGAACTTCCACCAGTCCTTCACTCCCAAGTGAAGCCGGTTCAGCGCGAACCATACCCTCAGGTGCTCAGGACATGAAAATGTGTGTAAGCATCCCTCAATGTCAGATATCCATGTCATCAGGGTTATCGGGTCTAAAGTCCTGTCAAACTCTGGTAGCTTCGTGTTGCTGAACTCTCAGTATAGCAACGAGTCACACACCTGTGGCCTCGCGGCAGTGACCGCCACAGTGGCTACAGCAACATCTACCTCAGTCAGAGCAGCATATCGCTCATTGAATGTCTCAATCAGTGTGGTCTTGATAGACCCAAAACATCTCCTGTATCTCAGCTCGGATGGCGGCCGGTCCCACTGCTTCTTGGGTTGTGGCACATCCCCACCATGATGCCTCATAAACATGACATAAATTAATCAGAGTCTTGACCGAGATGACTCACACTCGATCTACCGTTCCTACTTGTTCCTTAGCATCCTATGAATTCTTACTTGAGATGTTTACCGATCCAATGCTTTCAGTAGTACGGGCCCAAAACTACATTCCACACCATATCCGTATCTA